AAAGAGGGACAATAAGAGCACAGTGAGGGGTGGGAAGGATCGGAGGCAAAGCAATTTAAAGCACAATTAGTTTGAAACATACTTGACCAGCTCTGGAAGGACGATCTTCGTTGTGAGCTTCTCAACAACGGCATTATCAAATACGTGGTCAAGAACACGCATCTTCAAACGCATACTCATTTCCTTTGTTGTAAAGATATTTCGAGGATGGAACATTGTAGCCCAATAACGTATGAAGTACGCCATCCTCCATACAGTGGGAATCTCAAAAGGCACATTTTTGAAGACAAAAACTACAAGACAGACAAAAAACTGCGGAGCATACCTGGGCTTGATTTCGACTTCCACAGAATCTGCACGAAGTCGCACTGATGACGTCGAAATATTTCCAATTTCATCACGATAATAAATGTCTTTAGCAGACGCTGGTAATATCGTCTGAAACGTAGCAGCATAAAATCCAGTTCAGAGCAGAGAACAAGCAGACGACAAACCGTAAAGTGTAAGAGTGCAGGTTGACGACGTCCCCGACGATCCATCTGATGATCAAGTCGTGAAAAAGGACCCTGGAGTATAAGTTAGAGACAAAGAACATGGAAACCTCAAAAACAAACTCCGTGGGAGCATTCATAATAATTAACAAAAAAATGAACTTGAATTCACCTTTAGTTCAGCTCCCTTGTGCACTAACTCAATGTATTCCTCGACAGCAATATTTCCCCAGTGCGATACTTCAATTGTTCTTTCGATGGTAGTAGCCACTACGAAGGGGGCATTGTTTTCGTAGTGGATTTTTATCGGCTTCTTAAACAATAGAATTGGTGGAATGGTTCCTAAGAATCCAAAGTGCTAAAAAGTTCGCCGTGTGAAAATTGATGAAATGAAAACTGACCGCTGTTAAAGGCTGGCTGATCTTTGTACGGTCCCATAAATATGATCGCTCATTTTCTCTGACTAGTCGCGACACTTGTGTGATACGATTGAGTTTTCAAACCGCTACCAATTTTGACAGTCGTTTTTTCCTGAGCCACGGGATACGCAGCCGCATAATGAGCGTTGCCGTTATATACAACAAACCTAAGCAAGCATTTATACAAATAAAATTGAGAAATGGGGCCTAGAAGTACTTACAAGATTCTGAGCGACTATTCCCACACCAAAAATTTTGGTAAAGGCATAAGCACCCGTAAAGAAGAAAGGCGATCAACGATCAAAAAAGAAGCGTCGGTGTTTGAAGTAATGCGTGGACAAATAAAAAAAGGAAAAATTGCGAAGGAGTTTATAGGAAAATACGCTTTTGAAGACTGTCGTCACTTGTGGTGTATGATCTGCACCCGATGCACTTCTCGTTTTTTGAAAGGGAGGGGCTGATCAAGTATGGTCCATGATAATACGTCTTCTAAACTCAGAAGCCATAAGACCAGGCTCAAGGCATGGGTGGCAAGAGAGCCACTTACTGAACCTAAGACTAAGCCTTAGGGAGGGAAAGGATTGCGGGGGAAGAACTTTGTTCTCTCTGGCGTTTCTGTCTCCTGTGGTTAGTCTTAGTGTCACCCACCAGCAGTTTTTAAAAGCCCTGTTTTGCATTTCCCCCTAAGGCCATAAGTGTCTGATATTACGAGAAAGAACAGTTCCAATAAGTTGCCGTCACTAAATTTCATCGCATTCTGTGACAAATTTTTACGACTTAAGAGATAATGTTAGATGCAATTAGATACGAAATGGGTCTTCCCATAGGTGATGAAAATTATTCTTGGAAATTGCTTTGAATAAATAGAGTATCCCACTCCTCAAAGGTTAAGCTTATAAAAAAGGCAGATTACGTCGGTTTTATGGGGCAACCGCTTTTTTCTAACGGTCATCTCTCAGTGAACTTCTTTGGACAAATTTACTTCGCGAATTTCGCGCTAAAAATTCCCAAATGATCAACTCGTAGCTTCTTTTACTGTGTTGTTGCCTACTATTCAAGTTTCGCCAACTCAAAGATCATTAATGATCTCATGATTCATATTTCTGAAAATCAAAATTGTAACCCAAGTCTGATGGAACGCCTTCCCAAGTGATTCGACTCATTTTTTAGCTTTTTTATCAGAAGTAGGATTTATGTCGACACCTGGGATTGTAATACTCAAAAAACTATACTTTTAAACAAAGTCCACCAAAAAGAATTTGAAAAGGAAAAATGGGATACAAAGATCATGGCAGCCGGCGAAAACTCGTCCATCAAAGCCACGTCACATAGGAAATGGCGGCAGCTTGATGCCGCCATGGAAAAACGGAGCCGGTTGCTATGTGAGGGTCATTCTTTCTCAATGGGTTGAATAGAACGAGAATCTTGTTGAATACAGATGTGTATAACTTCTTAAAGCAGGCAAAACAGCACAGAAAATGGTAATAAAGCACGGTGAAGAACTTGTTGCAGGGAAGAGCTTGCGATATCGCGCCTCAACTGTGATGAATGTTGTCCACGACTTCCAACCAGCCCAAAAAGTTGAGTTTTCCACAAGAGGGACCTCCATTCCCCCCAAACTAATCATTATATAACAAAACGAACCCTAGATTAGAAAAACCAATTGAAGTAGGAAACCTTCGCAGCAGCCAGAACCACTGCACCCCATCCCACGTCCGGTTCAAAGGTTCGAGATAGAAAACTCAATGCAATAAAAACTGGAGACAAACATTACCAAAACAGATTTGGCGGACGAGATTCAGCGCGCTCCAATACACGTAGCTACAGAACCCCTGCAAGGATCTGCGCGGGACCATTTATCAGCAAGGATGTGATGATTTTTGCAGAGCTTTCAAGTTTCGAACGTGTTTGAATTGCTTAATACTTTCTTGAACTTGTTTTCCTTGCATATTTCTATGGGGAGATGTTGTTGGAACGTCTCAGGAGTGTTTTATTAGAAGGCCGTGGTTGTTTCCCGCGATTCTCAGACAATCTTTTGAATAATATGTGCTCCGAGTGGTTGTAACTTTTTATATCTGTCTTCAAGATATATTCTCTCAGGTCGCTTGGTATGGGCAAGCAACGTAAAGGAGGACTTCCATATTTGAAATCTTCACTCAAAATTGACTGGGATTCGGGCCGTGGAGTGTCGATCGCTGAGCAGAAGACGTTGATTTCCGATGTGCTGAGCTATCTGGAAGAGAACGGAGATCGAGACGAGCAGCCTGAACCGTCCACTCGAAGTATCCTGAATATCGTGACACCTAATGCTGGTTATGGCCTTCAAGCCTGTCTGGATCTTACCAAGACCGAGGCATCTCCGATCGTCTTTCTCGATTCGGTCTGCCCTCGTCCCAGCGCTGTCTCAAACGCACTTGGTCTCTATTTCAGCAATTATGCTGATACGGTGAAAGTTTACTGTCTCGAAGGTGTCGAGGATTTGTTGTGGAGTAAGCTCAATCGAAAAACAAATGCTTTTGTACTGAAAAATTGTCCACCAGAACTTAACGAACGATTGCAGACTACCCTTACTCCAATGCGCCTTCAAAAGGGTAGGCATAGCTCGGCCCTTACTCCTGTTTCCCTTATAAAATCCATGGGAAAGCCTGAAAAAGCTAAGAAGTGAATCAGATTTATTCAGAATATCTATGGTTGTGTGCACTATACCCTTATTTCCTTTGCCTTTATCTTCTTAAGAAATCGAATCTTGATTATGTATATCCACGTTCTTTTGTTTCTCCTTGTTCTTTGAGCGCTGTTGTTCATACTCGAGCTTTCTGAGTGGATGTATCCACAAAATAGAGAGTGGTGTGTGGTTGACTGGTTCTGGCTCCCCATTTTCTTCACGATTTGGGCGCGGCCGCGGCGAGCGCGGACGAGTTGGTAGTGCCCGCGAACTGTGCTAATGGACCGTTTTCAAACCTACCCGCACAGTCGCGGGCACTACCAACTCGTCCGCGCTCGCCGCGGCCGCGCCCCTAAATCGTGAAGAAAGTGGGGGAGCCACTGGTTCTCCGATCTTCTGTTGGAGTTACCCATCTGCTCTAGACCTGATCAGTTAGGTGCCAGACCTAGTAACTGCGAATCGCGTCGGAAACGCGGTTGAAGACTTCACTGTACCACTGAGGCTGCGATCAGAATTGCAGTCGCGAGGTCTGGATGCGCCTCAGGCCGCAGTCATAGTTTGCAATCTTGCTATTTTTTCGTGCAATATTGGGAGCGGCGAGTGCGGACGAGTCGGCAGTGCTCCCTCAGGTCGGGCATCTAGAACTGGGACACCACACTCATTTGCTCAATGCAAGGCTTAAGAGTAAACCTAGGTCCATTTATAAGCTCAATCATGAGCGAATGTGCAAGCAAAGCCTAAGCCTAAACCCAAGCGTAACCTCAGGTTTATGATCGAGAAGCTCTGGTGACACTGACCCAGGAGGAGGAGTGAACGTTTTCAGTCGCGGCCGCGCCTTAAGCCTGTTGAAAAATTCGCGGAGGCAGCCCTTCCCCCGTCCCAACTAAGTTACCACCGCAATACTAATATTTGCAGTGGAGGAAGCTCCGGGTAATTAATTCGCTCAATCTCAGATATCAGTATTTATTCTCCTGGCCTTAATAAGAGAAGAAGACGTCTGAGGTTAAAACCTTAGTTGCTCCTGCATTATGCCCCGCATCGAACCTTTGGCTTGGATTGTTTAGACAGCAAATCATCATCAACAACTATTCTATTTTATAAAGCGCTAACTTTGTGTGTCGGTTTTGTAATGTATGTGGTATGTATATATGTATGTGTGTCTGTCCGTCCGTAAAAATAAGTGAGTGATAAGGCAGCTGACGAAATGAACAAACCGCTAACAAATCTGAGTAGCTCGCAGGAGTTGAACTATCAATGTTTTGTTCAGTCGATATCCGAAAGTTGGGGTAGGTGTGTCACCGGAAGTGACGTGCACTTGATAGAAGTGCGTGGATAAGCTGTTGCCAGCATGCTTTGCTGATATCCAGCGATGTATGTTGGAAGCAGCTTATCCACATAGTTTCTATCAAGTGCACGTCACTTCCGGTGGTACGCCTACCCATCTCTCCGGTACCGAGTATAATAGGATATGTTGATAATTATTGAAAGAATTGTGAAATGTGGACTTGGTCGGGAGCCACTTTTCTCTGTCAGTCGCAAGCGGTACTGCGGTTTTGCATTGTTTATCGATCGCAGGATTGCGCCACTACTGGCTGTGTTTACGCGCAGCTTTGACAGTTCTTATTGTTGTTCTTGGGCTCCGTGCACTATTCGCTCAAGTGGTACAAACCCTCAATGTCTCGTGGGTGTGTAGGATTTGCTGACATGTTCGTGTTCTCTATATCCTCTGAAAATTGTTAATATGGTTAATTTTTGTGTTGTGAAGTTATAATGTATGCACTTGCATCTGTTACCTATATACCATTCGTAGCTTATCATGCGGATACTTTAATTTTTCTTTGTTCATGATTGTTATCTCATTTCCTCCTATCGTTATGTCTGTTTACTTTGTTGCGGTTAGAATAAATTCATTTGCTTATGTTCCAGTGACGGGAATGGTTGGTACAACACAAGAGAAGGAGAAGAAGAAGGAGGAGAAGTCGACCAAGGACAAGGATGAACAAAAAGAAAACTGGCAAAGAAGAGAAGAAGGATGAGATGGTGAGTGCTGCAGTGTTTTGTCTCCTCCTGGCCCTCGGCAATAAAGCGAGATTATGAATTCTTTCAGACCGAAGAGGATAAGAAACTAGAAGAGGACCTCAACATGCTGGTTCAACGATTAAGTGTAAGTCTGTTCCTTCTTTTTCCTTCAGTCTTTTCATTTATTCCCGGCATCGTGACTATTTCTTTACGACATGTATGCACTAGTTAGTTTGAATGGGTCTCGCTTGTAGCTGGAGTGTGAATTTGATACGTATCGATCTTGCGCTTCCACGAGCGGTACAGATCAAATTCACACTCGATGTGGCGCACTG